ATTGGTCCCTTTTTTTGTCGTCGTCACAATTGGCATTGTTGTTTCCCTAGTGCCGACACTATCGTCATCATTCAACTTGGTGACACCACTAATCAATCAAGTATGCATTGGATATTTTGTAGGAAATTGAGTTTGTGAACTCAAATTTGTTAGCAGACTTATGGATCTCAATACAAACTCCTATTTAATCTAAGAAGTATAAAAAGTTTGTTGAAAAATTTCTAACATTTCCTTCGCAGTAAGTTGGGTGAGTTAATTTCTCAATTTTCCATTTGTTGTCATTCATATATTAAAGTTCATTAAAATATCTTTAGGAAAAGTTTGCTATATGGTCACAATAACTATAGTAAAGTTGCCTATTATATGCTTATGATGAAAGATCCACTTCCATATATTGTGCCTCTATTGGTGATAACTTGATTTTTATAGCCTCAACAACTTGTGAACTTGATTGGCTTAAACAATTAGTTAAAGAATTAGAATTTGAAGATGTCACTCAAATAACCCTTATATGTAACAATGGAGTTGCTTTTCAAATTAGTTCTAATAATATCTTTCATAAAAGGACTGAAGACATAGAGGTTGATATTTCTATTTTATTTGAGAAAAAAATTATATCTTGAGGCATCAAGATGAAATTTGTTAACTCAAGATAAATTAAAAGATATTGTCATTAAGAGAAAACTCGAGAGATCCAAATAAGAAAATAGAAAAACTTGGATTATTCATAATGAACGATTGCAAGACTTGTATAACAACATAGAAGACTTTAATAAGTTAACTCATAAAAGAGACTAATACTTTGTTCACTTGAATGGATTTGAGGGAGAGTGATTGAATGAATTTGAGAGGATTTGAAGGTAAAAATTTTGTTATTTATTTGAGTGGATTTAGAGGTAAGTGAGAGTGAATTTAGAAGTAAATTTTTTTAATCTGTCACATCAATCAAATCCTACACTAATTCTTACAAACTTTACTTCCAAATCCACTCTCACTTACCTCCAAATCCACTCAAATAAACAACAAAAAATTTACCTTCAAATCCTCTCAAATTCATTGAATCACTCTTCCCCAAATCCATTCAAGTGAACCAAAATCTAAATGAGAATGATGTACACATAAACCTTTTTACCATTTAAAAATGTATAATGTGTAGGAAAGCACTATTTATCCTTGTGACAATGTTTTCTTCCATTTAATAATCTAAATGTAAATGAGAAACAATAATTAAAAGGGAAACCAAAACAAAAGTTACTTAAATTAAGACTATGAGGGGTTCTTTTGTGGCTCCAATAATTTTGTGACGTCTAATATTCTATCAATGATTAACTTGTACCTTGACTCTTCTTAAAGTTCTCTTAAATTTGTTAATTAACAAGAAAAAGGCATACATTATTTCTAAAGTAATTTGTTAATTAACATCAAAATGTGCATCGATCTCTTTCAATTTTGAACCGACAAACCTATAAAAATTGGTGATATTAGATGTAATTTATTCATTTAATGTATTGTTTATACGTGTAAATAAAATTAATTAATTTGTCGAGTAGGTTCGACACTAAATAAACACATAACTTAAATTTATCGTCTGTTGGTCTATTTTGACTACTATATAACATATACAAAGTTTAAATACTAAAAATATATTTAATCTTTAAAATAAAAATGAAAAAAATACACGTAATCAAACACATTAATCAAACTCTCCAAACATGAAATACTCCATCTTCATCTTAAACTTTCGTGTGACTTTTATATCATTACTATATACCATAATCATGCTCCCACTTTGCCAAACGTCACATACCAACAAATAATCAACAACCCTAACTTTGTAAAACCAAACTCCTATCTTTCACATCACATAGTGTAATTTCTGACGATTAAGAGTAAAATATCTAAATGAAAAAACTTTTCTACATATTATTATAAATAAAAGAGCATAAATAATAAAATGATTCTCGTTAAACTTTTTGTGAATTTATGCTAACATTAAGAGATAAAAACCATGGCAATCTTTCCTAGCGTGTTACTTAATGTATGTTGTAAGGATTTAGAAAAGAAGTCAGCTTTGGGAGTGAACACGTGACATCAATGGATAGGATGAAACATTTTAATAAAATAACTTATGTATAGAAAGGTGGAATTCAACGTTCCTTCCTATTTCCTGAGCATCCAAACCTCTCACTCTTCAGAAATTTCTTATTCTCTTACCTCTGTCTTCTCTCTTAAATCTTTTCTCACTAAACCATAAGATTGTTGATTAGGTGGTGTTATAGGATTCCCAACATAGAGGGTTCCGTTTTGAACCGATCACTTTCTTCTTTCTCACCGGTAAGTAGTTCTTCCTTTCTCCAACGTTGTTTTGAGACCTAAGGCATGCGACTCTACTGGTTGCATATAACTAGAAACATTTTTCTTCAAATCTTTGTCAAATTCTAGCTCTAAGAGGTTTTTTCTACCATTAATGTGGTGGTTTGTAGGGTTTGGTTGGACCCTTGCTGAGTGAGGTACTGTAGAAAGACTTTATTATGAGCTGGGCAGTTCAACTTTGAGGTAAGGGGAGTTAGCTGTATGTTTAAATATGTTTTATAAATGTGTATGCATGTTGAATGTTGAACTGATGTGTTGTTTGAACTGCATTTTTGGTTTTAAGTATATTGGATGTTATGGAATGAAGCGTGTAGTTGATGTGACAGTAATGGCTTGTTTGTGAACTGAAAAAAATGTACTTAGTTACTGTAAATTGAACATGTGGGAAGTGTTGGGGGTAAAATTTATGTTGTAGTAATAATTAGATGGACAATTTAGCAATTAGAAAGTATTTTAGGTCATTTAAGAGAAAGTGAGATAGTGATTATGAGAATTTGAAGTCTAGAGTGTGTTTGAAGGGTTAGGGCAGTTTAAATAGGTCCAATGTAGCTTGCTAGGAACATAAAACTGGTTTAGAACATACTAAAAATGGTAGAATTGGATTTGAGCCCCTAAGTTGAGAAAATTAGTGTTTTAAGAAGGAATTTGTGTCTTAATCACTTAATAATCATTGTAGGAATGTGTCAAACCAATTAGATAAGTTTAATTAGGTTTATATCATCAATTAGAGGTCTTAGAAGTTGGGGAAGATTATTGGAAATGGTAAGAAGGTGTGAGTGTGCATAATTCTGCAGAACTAGCGTTCTGTAGATTATGCAGACTCGCTATGCGAATGGTTTCGCATAGCGAGTGCCTACAAGAGGTGCTCTCTACCAGGGTCATCCGCTGTGCAAGTAGGTGCGCCTCGTGAGTGATCTGAGAGTGTGGCTCTCTGCTTGGTGGATTCGCCTAGCGAATCCTATCGCTATGCGACTGATGGTGGTCTGGAGCTATTGCCATTTTAATTAGAAAATCGAATGGGGTGCAAGGTGAGAAGGTTTGGGGGGTAGGTCTCTCTATAGACTCTCGTTGTGCGACTTAGTAGCTCTATGCGAGAGACCTAATGTCTGTCACCTACGCGAAGTAATTCGCAAGGCGAATGTGATGCGCTATAGGAGCCACTTTGGTTTCACCATGCGAATAGTGTGCGCGGTGCGAGAAGCCCTGAATTTAGTTGTTTAATTTCCTTTTGTTTTATGATTGATTGCGTGGTTTGTTACACTGTTTGTGAAATATGTTTTAATGTCTATGGCCTTATCTAAAGGAGCTTAAATCTCTATGTTGATTCTAATTAAAAGTATATGAGTTGAAAAGGAAAGTGGTATGATCTCAAGTTTTCAAGTATAAGTTCCACAATTTGGAATCTCTTGGTGAGATTCTTAGTTGTTTAAAATGAGAGTAGGAGCTTAGTCTTGGGGGTCATCCTAAAACTCTAATGGTCAATCATTCTCGAATAGAGAAGATTGAACCATGTGGTGAGGAGTAGCAGGAGATCTTAGTCTTGGGGGCTTCCAGTATGCCTCAAGGCCCGGAACAGGCTAACCTTGTGAGTGTGGTAGGGTGAAACCCATTGACAATGGCTTTGCAAAGCAGTAGAGGCCACCACGAGTGCACGACCCGCCATAGCTCGACTACCATTCTAAGTCCGGACGAGTCAAGTCTAGTACACAACATGTTAAGGTGTATGATTTAGCTTGCTTTGATTGAAATTGAATATGGTATGTTATACACTGTTATATTATATGTTTTGTTTACTAGCTCACCCTTCTTCTTGTTGCTGTGTCTACTTGTGTGTGGTGTTTTCTGTTGAAATGATCATCCACTCGGATGTGAGCAGAGTTAGATGAGGTGCCTTTGGAGTAGGCCTTGGAGGAGAGGACAATGCTGCTTAGTGTAGTTAGGATGCATGTCTATTTTCGTATATTTTGAAATACTCTTTGTACTTAAAGATTTAAATTTATATCCATTTTGGATGACTGTAAGTTGAATACTTTATTTTACAGGTTCTTAATTGCTTTATAATATTATATTTGATGACGTCTATATTATATATATTTGAAATATAATGGGGATGTTACATTTATGGTATCAGAGTAGTTTCTGTCTTTAGAAAATCCTGTAGGGTATGTGTGTGCCTTGCTTATGCTTGTGTACTCTTAGTTATGTCTAGATTCGTTGCCCTTATTTCTTTGAGTTGGATTGATGGTCTTTTCTCTCTGTGTGAACAAAAGATGGCACCTAGACTTCCTCCTCCTCCTCCCCCTCAGACTGAGCCGTCTGACTCAAACAGAATGTTGGAGTCTGTGCTTCAAGCATTACAGCAACAAAATACTGCTTTGGTGCAACAGAATACGACAGCCTTGCAGAATTTGGAAGCTGCAAGAGTGTCGACAAAGAACGCAAGAGTGTCATTTGAGGACACTCAGAGACAATTTATGGAAGTTTTGACAAGTGGCAGGGCTACTGCTAATCCTTCTTCTTCTGCTGTTCCAACTTAAGAGTGGAGCTTGGAGAGCTTCCTCCAACACCATCAAGCCAAATTTAATGGCAAGTGCAGCCCCGACCAAGTCGATCACTAGTTTAGGGATATGGAAAGGATCTACAATGCAAAGCGCTACCCAGACGAAAATAGATTGACTTTCACGGAATACTTGTTAACTAGGGAAGCTAGTCACTGGTGGAGTAGTATGAAGATGATTTTAGAGGGGAATGACACTCCTATCTCCTGGGAGTTATTCAAGAAGAAGTTTTACACTGAGTACTTTCCAAATAGTGTAAGGTTTGTAAAGGAGGTGGAATTTCTTGAGTTGGTGCAGGGCAATATGTCAGTATTAGAGTATGCGAATCACTTCAAACACCTGCTTTGTTTCAACACTATGGTGGTGGATGTGGAATGACAATGCAAAAAATTTGAGAATGGTTTAAGATGGGACATCAAGCTGCTAGTAAAAGGGCTGCGTATTAGAGAGTTTCCCGCTTTGGTGAAGATGGCCCGTGAGAAGGAAAAGACTAAGAAAGAAGCAGAAGAGCCTCAGAGTCAGCAGAGCCAGCCATTGAGGGTTGGAGGACCAGTGGCATCTCGAGGTGGTTCCAATTCTAGGAGGACCCCTTTTTCTAGACCTATTTCTTCTTGGTCCAGGGGTTCTTCCTCACAGTCTTTTGTACAACAAGGGCAGTCTAGTTTTGCTAGCTTTGTGAGATGCTATGTATGTGGTGGGCCGCATCTTCAGACAGCTTGTCCTCAGATGGTGGGATTCAAGAGGTGTAACATTTGTAGGCGAGATGGTCACTACACTAGAGACTGTCCTACAGCTAGGAGGGCAAGACCACAGTCACATCATGCGGGAAGAGTAGTACAGAGGGGTGGTGTTAGACCCTAGGCAGTGGGTAGAGTGTATTTCTTGACTGGAGTAGAGGCGGTCAATGCAGGTAATCTTATTGTTAGCAGCTGTTTGTTGTTTGGAGCTTCTTGTGTGGCTTTATTTGATTCGGGGGTGACACATTCTTTTGTGTATGAGACTTGTGTGGAGAGGCTGGGTTTAGTAGTTAGTGAGCTTCAGGTTGATCTAGTGGTGACGATACCAACAATTGGGTTGGTTAGGACATCTACTGTGTGCTCTAGATATCCTATTGAGTTTGAGGGGCGTAGGTTCAGAGTGAACCTTATTTGCTTACCTCTACAAGAACTAGAGGTAATCTTGGGAATGGATTGGTTAGCTGTCAATCTCATTCTTTTGGACTGTGGTGAGAAGAGGCTAGTATTTCCTAATGGAGATGAAGACATGTCCTTGTCGATAGGCATGTTGAGGCAGGATATAATGGAAGGCGCCAGTTGTTTCTTGATCATGTCTCATACAGAGGTGGCTCAAGACTTTAACCTTTCGGCTCATGGAAAGCAGAGTATAGATCTTGAGATTGTGAACGATTTCTTGGACGTATTCCCTAAAGACGTTCCTGGTTTACCTCTTCCACGAGAGGTAGAGTTCTCTATAGACCTGGTGTTAGGAGCAGGGCTAGTGTCTATAGCCCCGTATCGGTTGGCTCCAGCTGAATTGGCTGAGTTGAAGAAGCAGATTGAAGATCTTTTAGAGAAGCAGTTTATCAGGCCTAGTGTTTCGCCATGGGGAGCACCCGTGTTGCTAGTAAAGAAGAAGGATGGTAGCTCCAGGTTGTGCGTTGATTATCAGCAGCTGAATAAGTTGACTATAAAGAATAAGTATCCATTGTCGATGATAGATGATTTAATGGATTAGTTGCACGGAGCTACGATGTTTTCTAAGATCGATCTGAAGTCGGGTTATCATCAAATCCTAGTGAAGGCACATGATGTGCAGAAAACGACTTTCAGGTCCATATATGGCCACTATGAGTATATAGTTATGTCTTTTGGTGTGACTAATGCTCCAGCCATTTTCATGGACTACATGAATAGAATTTTCAGACCATTCTTAGATAAATTTGTTGTCTTCATAGACGACATACTGATTTATTCTAAGACTCGGAAAGAGCATGAAGATCACCTTAGAACAGTACTTGGAGTGTTGAGGGAGAGAAAGTTGTATGCCAAGCTGTCTAAGTGTGAGTTTTGGATGGAAGAGGTTCAATTTCTTGGGCACGTGATTTCAGTTGGTGGAATTCCTATTGATCCAGCTAAGGTGCAAGCAGTACTTCAGTGGGAGAGTGATGACAAATTTATGAACACCGAATAACGGCGCCACAAACTTGTTTAACAATCGGCAAGTGTGATCGAATCGTATCAAGTAATAAAACAAGGTAAGACCAAGTATCGTTTTCGCAAAGGACTCACGGCCTAGTTTAGCTATGTGATTTGTTGATTATTTAAGACTTAAGAACAAATTGATTGTAGGTTTAAATGCAAAAGACAGTAATTAAACATGTATGCATGAATGTTGATCAATGGAAAAAAACAGAATACAAACACTTCAATGAATTAGATGGATGAGTATGTTGTTGGGGTTATCAATTTCATCTTATCCACTCTAATATATTTTCAGGAATTCATCATTCTTATCATCAATGCTAATGCCACTCTCTAAATCACCTTGCAAGAAGGCCTATCCTTAATTATGAGTTCATACAATTCCTAGCATTCCTAGTAATTAGTTCTTAAAGTGCAGGAGCTTAAAGGCAACCAATATGCTATTGGGAGAAATTCCCCGGATCTAGACTTCCCCGTACGTTACCGTATCGACAAAATCAATAATCATGACAATGAATGAGTTAAACAAAGCAAACAATAAGCAAAGAGGAAAAACCCTAACTAAAGATGAAAGAAAGCATATATCTTAATATAAGACATTAAATCAAATTCCATATATGAGAGTTTCACAAGACTACATTGATTCCCCAACAACAATACAAGGTTTAGTTCACCATATTCATGGTGAAACTAGATGAACAATAATGAAAGAATGAAAGATAAAACCCTAGAAAGAGGAGAAGGTAGCCTGAGCATCCAAGATCTTCCTTCAAGGGGTGGAAAAGAGAGTGTTTGCTTCGTCTCTGCCAAAGATACAAACCCTAGGACGTCCTAAAGCTTATATACTATTCTAAAAATACAAAAAATTAGGCCCAAGAACAAAATAGTGCCGCTAAGAGGTAAACTACCGCTCAGCGGTAAGTGCGTGAGTTGTTTTTCTCCCCTCAGCGGCCTTTTCACCCCTCAGCGGATCCAACGTGACTGTCTGAGTGCCGCTCAGCGGTAAACTGCCGCTGAGCGTCAGTTGCGGCTTCTCCTTTTGCACTTTTTGATGTCTTTTCTGATTCCATCTCTATCCTTCTTCACTTCTTTCACCAAATTCACCTTAAAACCTGCACAAAAACACTGAAATCAAGCATAAACCTGTCCAGCTCTCTTATTTCTAAAAATATGACCAAAAGCATGATTTCAAGCTAGTTTCTAAGTGTTAAAGGTTGCTTTTAGTATCAATTTTAAGCATAAAAATAACAGTTTTTCAACTGTTATCAGAGAGACCTAAGACGGATACTGAAGTCAGAAGTTTTGTGGGTTTGGCGGGCTACTATCGTCGCTTTATCGAGAACTTTGCACGGATTGTAGCCCCGTTGACACAACTCACTAGGAAGGATCAACCTTTTGCTTGGACTGACAAGTGTGAAGCTAGCTTTCAAGAGTTAAAGCAGAGGTTGACCAGTGCACCAGTATTAGTGATCCCGGACACAGGTAAACCTTTTGAGGTTTTCTGTGATGCCTCTTATCATGGTTTGGGGTGTGTACTGATGCAGGAGAGAAAGGTAGTTGTCTATGCATCAAGGCAACTCAAAGTTCATGAGAAGAATTACCCCACTCATGACTTGGAGTTGGCCACGGTGGTATTCGCTTTGAAGATTTGGAGGCACTACTTGTATGGCGCACAATTTCAGGTTTATAGTGATCACAAGAGTTTAAAATACCTCTTTGATCAGAAAGAGCTAAATATGAGGCAAAGGAGATGGATGAAGTTCCTTAAAGATTATGATTTTGATCTTTTATAAAAGCTAATGTGGTAGCTGATGCATTGAGCAAGAAGACAGTGCACATGTCTTCATTAGTGATTAGAGAGTTGGAGTTAGTTGAGGGGTTCAAAGATTTGAGGTTACAGGTTTAATTAGAGCCTAACAACATCAAATGCAATAACTTGGTGGTGTCTAGTGGTTTATTGGAGCATATTAAAGAGGGGCAGTTGTTAGACGTCGAGCTTCACAGGTCGGTAACTTTGATTGGTACCGAGCAGGGCAAAGATTTTACCATGGTGGCTAATGACATTCTACGATTTAGGGGCAAGGTCTGTGTCCCTAACAATTCAGAGTTGAGAAGATTGATTCTTGAGGAGGGTCATCAGAGTCGTTTTAGCATGCACCCTAGCATGAATAAAATGTATCAAGACCTCAAGGATTCTTTCTGGTGGTCTGGAATGAAGTGAGAGGTAGCATAGTTTGTTGCTTCTTGCTTGACCTGTCAAAAGACTAAAGTAGAGCATCAGAGGCCTGGTGGATTATTGCAGCAATTAAAGGTTCCTGAGTGGAAATGGGATAGCATAGCTATGGACTTTGTTACCCATTTACCATGTACGGTCAGAGGTAGAGATGCCATTTGGGTGATTGTTGACAGGTTGACCAAGAGTGCTCATTTCTTGGCAATCAGTTTAAATATGTCTATGGCAAAGCTGGCACAATTGTACATCAAGGAGATCATGAGACTGCACGACGTGCCTTCCAGCATTATATCTGATAGAGATCAACGCTTCACTTCTAGATTCTGGTAGACGCGTCAAAGTGAGATGGCCAGCAGGTTACAGATGAGCTTAGCTTACCATGTCCAGACAGATGGTCAGTCAGAGAGGACGATCAAGTCACTAGAGTACTTATTGAGGACGTGTGTCTTGGATCATTTGGGAGTCTAGGATGAGGTGTTATCGTTGGTTGAGTTCACCTACAACAATAGCTATCAAGCCAATATAGGTATGGCACCGTTTGAAGCATTGTATGGAAGACGCTGCAGAACACCCTTGTGTTGGTTTCAAGATGGGGAATCAGTTTTGACTGGACCAGACCTGGTACGATAGACTACTGATAGAGTGAAGCTCATTCAAGAAAGGATGCGGGCGTCTCAAAATAGGCAGAAGTCCTATCCTGATCGGAGGTGCAGGCCGTTGGAGTTTGCAGTTGGGGATCATGTGTTCCTCCGAGTGACTCCTACTACTGGTGTAGGAAGAGCCATTCGTGCTAAGAAACTATCTCCTAGGTATCTAAGTCCTTACCAGATTCTACGGCGTATAAGACCAGTAGCTTATGAGATAGCCATGCCGCCCCAGCTGGCTAATCTTCATCCAGTCTTCCACGTCTCCCAGCTTAGGAAGTATGTGCCTGATCCTTCTCACGTACTAGAAGCTGAAGACGTACAAATCAGGTAGGATTTGTCTGTGGAGGTGCAACCTGTTAGAATTTTGGAGAGCCAAAACAAGCAACTTAGAGGGAAAACCATAAGTCTGGTCAAAGTCGTCTGGGATAGTAGAATAGGTGACTCCACTTGGGAGTTGGAGGGAGAGATGAAAGAGTTTTATCCTCACTTGTTCTCTGGTAAGTCTTATTTTCGAGGTCGAAAATTTTGTTGTTGGGGAGAATGTAAGGATTTAGAAAAGAAGTCAGCTTTGGGGAGTGGACACGTGGCATCAGTGGATAGGATGGAACATTTTAATAAAATAGCTTATGTATAGAAAGGTGGAATTCAACGTTCCTTCCTATTTCCTGAGCAACCAAACCCTCACTCTTCAGAACTTTCTTCTTCTCTTGCCTCTGTCTCCTCTCTAAAATATTTTCTCACTGAGCCATCTGATTGTTGATTAGGTGGTGTTCTAGCATTCCCAGCGTAGAGGGCTCCATTTTGAACCGATCACTTTCTTCTTTCTCATCGGTAAGTAGTTCTTCCTTTCTCCTCCGTTGTTTTGGGACCTAGGGCATGCGACTCTACTGGTTGCATATAACTAGAAACGTTTTTCTTCAAATCTTTGTCAAATTCTAGCTCTAAGAGATATTTTCTACCATCAATGTGGTGGTTTATAGGGTTTGGTTGGACCCTTGTGTGTGAGGTACTGTAGAGAGATTTTCTTGTGAGCTGGGTACTTCAACTTTGAGGTAAGGGGAGTTAGTTGTTTGTTTAAATATGTTTTATAAATGTGTATGCATGTTGAATGTTGAACTAGTGTGTTGTTTGAACTGCAATTTTGGTTTTAAGTATATTGGATGTCATGGAATGATGCGTGTAGTTGATCTGACTGTAATGACTTGTTTGTGAACTGAATTGGGTGGACTTAGTTACTGTAAATTGAACATGTGGGAAGTGGTAGGGGTAAGATTTATGTGTTAGTATTAATTAGATGGACAGTTTAGCAATTAGGAAGTATTTTAGGTCATTTAAGAGAAAATGAGATAGTGATTATGAGCATTTGAAGTCTAGAGTGTGTTTGAAGGGTTAGGGCAGTTTAAATAGGTCCAATGTAGCTTGCTAGGACATAAAACTGGTTTAGAACATGCTAAAAATAGTAGAATTGGATTTGAGCCCCTAAGTTGTGGAAATTAGTGTTTTAAGAAGGAATATGTGTCTTAATCACTTAATAATCACTGTAGGAATGTGTCAAACCAATTAGATAAGTTTAATTAGGCTTATATCATCAATTAGAGGTCTTAGAAGTTGGGAAAGATTATTGGAAATGCTAAGGTGTGAGTGTGCATAATT